AGAAATAAACCTACACCATTATAGTCAATGAATATTTGACAGAAGAAGCAAGCACTTACAATGGGCTAAAAATAGTTTATTCAATAAATGATATCGGGAAAATTGGACAGATATATACTGAAAAATGAAACTAGACCACACCACATGCAAGAATAAATTCAAAATAAATCAAAGACTCAAATGTTAGACCCAAAACCATAAAAATACTAGAAGAAAACATAGGTAGCAAAATCTTGGACATTGCTCACAGCAATATTTCATCTAATATAACTCCCCAGGCAAGGGAAACAAAAGAAAAAAATAAATAAATGGGACTATATCAAACTAAAGATTTTTGCGCAGCAAAGGAAACCATCAGCAAAATAAAAAGACAACCCACAGAATGAGAGAATATATTTGCCAATATACGTGATGAGGGGTTAATGTCCAAAATTTATAAAGAACTTACAAAACTCAATGCTAAAAAGAAGAAAAACCCAAACAACCCAATTAACTCATGTGCAAAAGACCTGAATAGACACCTCTCCAAAGAGGACAGACAGATGGCCAATATATATATATAAAAAGATGTTTGTCAATAAGTCACTAATCATCAGAGACATGCAAATTCAAACTATAATGAGATATCATCTCACACCTGTCAGAATGGCTAAAGTGAATAAACCAACAAACAAGTGATGGTGAGGATGTGGAGAAAGGGGAACCTTTGCACTGTTGGGGGAAAAGCAGATTGGTGCAGCCATTGTGGAAAGCAGTATGAAGATACCTCAAAAGATTAAAAGTGGATCTGCCTTTTCACCCAGCAATCCCACTTCTGTGAATATATCTGAAGGAACACAAAACACTAATTCAAAAGAACATAAGGACCCCTATGTTCATTGCAGCATTATTTACAATTGCCAACATATGGAAGGAGTCCAACTGCCCAACAGTAGATGAGTGGATAAAACAATTATGTAACCTTTACACAATGGAATACTACTTGGCGGTAAAAAAAAAAAAAAAGAACAAGAAAAAGAAAATTTTACCCTTAGCAACAGTATAGATGGACCTGGAGAATATTATGCTAAGTGAAATAGTCCAGTCAGAGAAAGACAAATACCATATGATTTAAATCAGATGTGGAATCTAATGAACAAATTGAACTAACAGAAAATGGGGACAGACTCATAGATGGAGAGCAGGATGACAGCTAGTAAGGGGTAGCTGAGGAGGTGGAGGAATTGAGCTATAAGGGGAAAGGATTGATAGACATGGACAACAGTGTGGTGATTGCTGGGGGGGAAAGGGTGTAAGGGGACTAAATGGTAATGGAAAAAATACAAAAAAAAACTATGAAAGGAAAAAGAAAGAACAGTATTGACCATAAAGATGAGCACCTAGATCAATGAAACAGAAGAGATACTCTAAATACAGAGCCACTTAAATATTGTCAGCTGAATTTTCACAAAGGTGCAAGGGTAATTCAATGGAGAAAGGCCAGTGTTTTAACAAATGATGCTTGGAATCACTGGCATCATTATTAAAAAAAATCTTCCATCTGGCATCATATGCCAAAAAAACCCCAAAACATAAATGTAAACTAACATAAAATGTAAATCAATAAAACTAAGTGTAAAAAGGAAAATTATACAACTCAGATGAAAACGAAGAAGAAAATATTTATGACATTGGGTTTAAAAATAATTCTTACATACAATACCAAAATCATAACCTATACAAGAAAAAAATAATAAATTAGACCATATCAATATGAAAAACATTTTTTCTCTGTTAAGAACACTTTTAAAAGAATAAAAAGACCAATCACAGACTGGAAGAGAATATTTGTACATCTCATATCAGACAAAGGACTTGTATTCAGAATATCTAAAGAACCCTCAAAATTGAACAATAAGAAAACAACCCAATTTTAAAAAGTGGGCAGAAAAATTTGACAAATATTTCATCAAAAAAGATACATGGATGGCAAATAAGCATATAAAAAGATGTCCAACATATTAGTCATTACAGACAAGGAAAAGAAAAGCACAGTGAGATACCATTATATATCTATTAAAACAGCAAAAATAAAAAAATAATGACAATTCCAAGTGCTTATAAGCATGGAAAGAAATAGGAACCCTGGCAGTAAAATGTAAAATGGCACAACCACTGGAAAAGAATTTGACAGTTTCTTATAAGCTTAAACATACACTTAATGTATAACCCAGTAAACTAACTACAGGTATTTATTATAGAGAAATAAAAAGTAAGTTTTTGCATAAAAAACTGTACTTTAACATATATACCAACATTATTTATAAATTCCTCACACTAGAAGCAATCCAAATATCCATTAATGGCTGAAGAGTTACATAAACCGATCAGCACATCCACACAATGGATTACTGCACAGCAGTATGAAAGGACAGATTATTGATCTGCACAGCTACTTGGATGGACCTCAAATACATTTTATTAAATGAAATAAGCCATTCTCCAAAAGTTACATACTATATTACTTCTTTATATGACATTCTAGAGAAAGCATGGGAAAGAAACAAAAAATTCAGTGGTTACCAAGGATTAGGAATATAGAGAGTTAGATATAAAGATGACATTATGAGGAAATATTTTTTAAAAGATTTTATTTATTTACTTTGAGAGAGGAGAAGAGAGGGAGAAGACAGGGAGAGAAACATCAATATGTCGTTGCCTCTTGTGCACCGCCTACTGGGGACCTGGCCTGCACTCCAAGTTTGTGCACTAGACTGGGAATTGAACCAGCAACACTTTGGTTCACAGGCTGGCACTCAACCACTGAGCCACATCAGCTAGGGCAGAATTCTTTGACAGTGTTGAAATTTTTCTGTATCCTGTATGTGGTGATGGTTATAAGAATCTATACAAGTAAAAAATTCTCAGTACAGAACAATGAAAAAATAGATTTTACTCTATGTAAAAGCAAAAAATTAAAAATGCTTTAAAAACTCTTCTGGGGACTTTGTGTAACATATGATGGCAGAAAATTCTCAGGATTTAAGAGTACAATAAAATGTTTAAGTTTACACCACTTAAAGACTATATGCAAATCTGGTTATCAAGTAGGAACAAATCAAGGGGCTAGAAGCAATCAAGTAGCAAGTACCCAGAAGCAAACATATATAGACTGTTCTATAAAAAATAAATATGTAAGTGCTTAAAATTCTGTACTATCACCCAGATGGGAATGGGGAAATGAATGTGTGGAGAGCAGACAGGAGAGGAAGTGAGGTGAGATGCCTGAGTAACTTAGCCTCTGCTTCAAATGAAGAGTGTAGTGATTTTCCAGTTGAATGACTTAACCTCAATATTGACAGCAGCTCAGCTCTGTTCCTGAACATTATTGAGACTAGAAGGCCAATATCCATCAATACCTCTTCAATGGCACCTGCGGAAATCCTGTGGCCTGCAACATTTATCACATCATCAACTCGAGACATAACATACAAATAGCCTTCTTCATCCATGTAACCAGCATCCATGGTGTCATAATATCCCTGTAAATAAGAATATGTAATGTCTAATTAGCATGTACTATTAGGTAATATAATCATTTTCAAGCTTGGTAAAATATAAAATGTCACAGAAATAAATGTACTGTAAGCATTTGACATTTTTATAACTAGCCTATAGAATTAAATTACTTTTGATTCTGAAAGCTTACTAGAAACTATTGAATCCTCTAATAACCAGGAATAAATTTATACATATGTGTATATATGTATATACTTGTATATATGTATATGTATATATGTGTATATGTGTGTATATATGTGTGTGTATATATATTTGAGCAAAGCTTTTGAACTTGGAGTTATAAAGTTTATGAACCCAATTTCTTTTTTTAATTGAAAAGTAATAGCTCCAATATTTCCAATATAATTTGGTATTTCAAAGTAATTTTTTGGTAGATTTATTCTTTAATGTGTTAATATTTAAAAACTTTAAAGCTCTCTATGAATAATTGCAAAATAGAGCACAGTTTATTAACACAGATTTGGATTAAACTTGAGCTTCAGTGAAACGTAGTGAGGTATTAAGCATGAAATTAAAATTTTAATCAACTCAAAGGAGTAGCACATCTTCATTGGTCCACAAGTCACAATAGAATGAAGTATCAAGAAGAATAAGTAGAAGGAAAGAAATATTACTTCCCTAAAACCTCTGAGTCATCTTGATACCTGTGTTTGTGAGCATGGGCTTCGGGACAAATCCTGATGAGTCACTATTTGTGCTCAACACTCAGTGTGCACACCGATTAAATGGGGTAACAAACTATGCTTTATGAGGCTTTTGTGATGCACAAACTAAATGGTGTGCATAAAGAGGGCAGACACCAGCACATTATGAGCCCTCAATAATTAACACTCATTACAATTCTTCTTGCAATTACTATTAGAGAGACAATTTGGAGTATTAGTTCAAGAGTATGGACTCTGGAGCCAGACTATATGGGTTCAAAAGTTAACTCTGTTACTTCTAAGCTACAGTCAAGTAACTCAATTTTTCTGTGCTCTTATTAACCCCTTAAATGAAAGCTTTGGGGTAAGGGTAACAGGACAGAGTACAGATTCACTACCTATAGCTTAAACATATCCTGGGACATGGAAGAAACTTTCAATGTTAAAGGTGACCATGTTAAAGCCACATGCATATATTATTTACTATTGTCAGGTTGTAATTAATCATACCAATATTCTGATGATTTAAAGGTGGCCCATCAAGCAGATAGATTAGGCTGACTGAAATCAACTACAATGACAAATTTTCCCTGTCACTGTCCCCAAGGGGCTTGTTTCATCTTGGCTACTGAGATCATTTAACTATGAGATCTCTTTCTAATGGAAGCTATTTTAATTCTTGTCATTTGTCTAGTTGATTAAGTTAGCTGTCCTTCACTCACAAATGAAAAAGAATGCTAAATACTCAAATGCACTTTGTCCTCTAAAGAAATTCTGATTATTCTTTTTCCCTAGGGAATAATGGGGACCAGGTATCTCTCAAGGAAAGACAAGGAAAAGACAGCATGAAGATGATGGTGGGGCCCTGCTGTGTATTACCAATGAAGTTCTGCTGTAAACACAAAGCATACAACCACCGCACAAGTGAACAGGTAAATGATAAACCAGACAATGGGAAGACACTTTCTGTTACCCAGGTGACTGGATGTCGTGTGTTGAGAATACTGTCTCTATCCTGTATCTGTACTTTAAAATGTGATTTTAAAATAAAGAGCTCAGAGAACACTCAGGGAAGAATGTCAAAAATAGCTACAGGGATAGAAAACTACAGCTTCTGACGAGCCCAGTGAGTTTGCTCACGTAACCAGGAGCCCAGGAGGGGAAGGGGTCTTCATGGCAGCATGGTTCTGGTCAGGGCCTCAGTCTGTGAAGGAGGCCAGTGGAGGAAATCACATAGAAAGTCCTGAAAAGTTTATCTTCACAATAATGTTTCTAATATTGAAGGATGTGCAATTCCAGGAAAAGCTACTAAAACAAACTGAGAAATTTTATATCCAGAGAATAATAAAAATAATTATAAAACTGACTTGTTTACGTGGTTTGGACATTATTATCCTTGAAATCTGGGAACTGGTCCAGATTACCATTAAAAGTTGTTTTGTGATCAAGTTGCTCAATGGAATAGCCAAGAACTATAAAGAAGTATATAAGAAGGATTTTTTTAAAAGCATAATAAAATTCTTACTGGAAATTTTTCAAAGTATAAATGCTTGAATGCTTCCTGATTCTTCCAGAGTCCTGAAAAAGCTCCAGGTGGTAATGGCAACCTTATATAAAAACAGAGGAGTTAGAATTATGATGCATGTGGTAACAGAGACAAAATGATTAGAACTAATAAATTTCCAGTAAAATTACAATTCAAATCCCATAATGAAAATGTAACCCCTAGATCTGCTGGATAGATCCTGTCTCACTGAGGTGGAAGTAGTTGACCTCTACACAGCACAGTCACTGACAGATGACTAGTTTCTGGGAAGGGCATACAAGGTGCACACATTAAGTGTTCAAATAGTCATTAGCAGTAATCCTGGTTTCAAAAAGAAACTTAACATCTGCAAAAAGAAACCAAAATGCATCCCTGAATTAATTTTAAGAGAAATATCCTTTACCATAGGCAAATCAATTCCTTTTTTTAAAGTATCAAGGTACCAACTTCCTGTGTCTGTGTAATTAAATGCTCCAATTAAACATCCCATGAACTATCTTATCTTAACAATCAATATGCCTCCCCACTCTGAGGATTCCTTCTCACTGCTCCCTCTTCAAGTTTTTCTTTTCAAGACCACGCAGACCTATGTTATTTCTCACTCCTATGAACAAAATAGAAGGTAGTATGTATACATCTCTTCTTTCTAACCCATTTCCTTGTAAATTTCCATCTGTGGGATAGCTCAAGACATGGCCCCTCCACCACCCATGATGAGGGCTGGCCAGGGGGTCGCTGGCCAGAGGAAATGTGTGTTGTTTAGGGATTGGATTGTAACTCCCTCCTTATATCCTTTTGGGAGTGGCTTCTTGTCCTGTGACTGCTTCTCGCTGTATGTACACACTGAGATAATGTAGATCCAGGCCACATGTAGGTGTGTGCAACCTGGACCGTGCTGCCTCTGTCTGGGACCCCTTATAATGAGCCTCAGACTGAAGGAGGTGCGGTCTCCCTCACACCGACCTGCTGCCATAGCTGCACTCCCCAGTAATGTGAGCAATAAATAGCACATGCACCTCTGCTAATCTACCTTTTGGGGTTTCTTTTCAGAATACCACAAACACTTAAGTAGCTCTCCAGTTTGGAGCTCCTGCATTACACTATCTACAAATAAATGAATAAATTCTTACACTAATTCCTTGTAAGAAGTACTGCATAACAAAAACAATCCAATGTGTTTTCTGGACAAAGAAACTTTTGAGATGCTCTAGAGTTTGTAAGTTGAGGTACTGTAAAACTTAATGATTTTAAAAAACCTAACCTCCTGTACTCACACAACAAAAATACTAAGTAAAGGGGTTACTTCACAGTGCTGATGCTGAGAAAATTGAAAACAAAGCAGACATGGCTATTGCCTGCATGAAGCAACTTCACGGACCCTCCAGGCCAGCGTTAGACCTGGGAAGCATCGAATTCTATTTTCACTTTCCGTCAGGCAAAAAATGGGATAAGGTTAGCAAGTGGGATCGGCAGCCCTGCTGCACTTGCCTATTTCCACCATGGCCAGCCTCCCTGTAGGTCCTCCCTTGTTAGATCTTCTTTTTGTAACGTTTAAGATGAAAGAAAAATGATACATTTGCATTGCTGAACCTCATATAGTTACATAAAATGTACGCGAAAGCATTTTGATATCTTAGAAAAAACTGCAAGGATGCTGCCATGTTGTTGCTGCTGCAATTGTTACTATTACTGTCCATGGAGAAATCTGCAGAAGCACAGCGGGAGGGAGCAAGGAATCCCCTCAGGTCCTTTTAACTTTGTTACGTTAATCCTTTTAACTCACCATGCCAATAATTTCACTTCATGAGTTTGTTAATATTTTATAAACCAGTGTAAAATCATTGATTATTAAACATGAAACTAAAACAGGCAACCCCTACAAATCATTTTAAATTTATTAGCAACATCTTGAGGGTGCTGAGGATAAAGAAGTGAAGAGGACACTAAGAAGAGGTTGCAATGGGGTGTAGGGTGAGGGTTCCCAGAAAATAGGAGAAAACCCACACAGACCTTGGCTGGCGGGAGGGGAAAGTGAATGATAAAAGATACTTGGCATAACAATGGCAAGTTAAGAGCTGTGCCTTTCTTGAATGGAGAGGGCTGCCTCCCAGGGCCAAAGGTGTGCATGACTTTGAGAGCCTATAATGACTTATGACATAGCCAGAGGAGGCGGATGCCCTTGTGTCACAGGGAACTCTTACCCTGACTAGAAGATGGCAGTCAAAAGAAGGTAAAAGATGCGAGGGAACTGGCAAAATTGGCACATCATAGGAGGGATCAGATATGAGGTCACAGAGTGAGTTCTGGGCCAATCATTTAAAATAAGGGTGGACTGAGAGAAAAGAAGAAAGCAGTCATGCAGGCTGAAAGGGTGTAGATGGGAGTCAGCTACAAGGTCTGGTATATAAGGGGAGAAGCCATGAGGTCTGGAGTAAAAAGAAGCAGACCATGGCAGAGCTGATGGAGCTCTGAGGGCACCTGCCTAGCCAAGCACAGTTTTCTGAGAGATATTTGGAGATGAACTGTGACTGGGAGCATGGAGCTATAGACTTCTGCTTCTCTGAAGGATGTACAGAGAAGTCACTCTCTTGGGACTGTGCCTCTCTCGACTCCACCATGATCCAGTGTAACACGGCACATGTTCTTCTGAACTGCTACATGGAGGCTGAGAACAACATACCCCAGACCCTGAGGGAGAGAGCTGCTGTGAGATGATGGAGTTTCTGAAACCCACAAGTGCACATTCCAGAGAGGATAGACCTCTGTTTTTGTGACTGGCTGATGGGCAGATAAGGATGTGGGGAGCTTCTGTGCATGGTTTTAGCTTACAGTCTTTTGAGGAGCAAGGGAAATACTGGGTTTTGTGTGAGAACAGGGCTCTGAGCAGAAGTGCTCTCAGCACTGCCTGGGGTTGGAATCCTGTTAATAAAAACCTGTTTCCTTCAACACTAATTGTCAGGTCATGTATCAAGGTGCCATGGGGCCAAGCTCCAGTTTCCTTGGTTACAAGGTGACCAATCAAAATCCAATATGGACCAAAAGAAACATCATTAACGAGTGAGACCAACTATATGTAAGCAACAATAAACCTGATGAAGATGCATTCTGCTTGCACATTAAATGATAAATATTCTTCAACTATTTCTAAGAAAAATATCATAATATATAGTCCTTTCTGTCTTCCTTGGTGATATTTTTCTTAACAGACACATGAGTATAAGAAAGTATCTCCTTACAATAAGACAAATAAAAAGTAACTGTGATAATGAATGGCAATTGACCTTCGGACTGGATTGGGGGACAACAGAGAGTAGTGGGGGCAAATCAGAATGCATGTCAGGTTTAATCTTTAGTTCCACCTGATTGCTGGATACACAGAAATTCTGATCCAAATCCTTAAACCCGTAACATCGCCCATACTAAGGACTATGCATATAGAAGGATGCATGGTTAAACAAGCATCTCTTTCATTTTATCTACCCCAACTTCAAGATTTTAGTCTACCAGCATCCACACACTGCCACCTCACAGTACATGGAAATACTTAAGAACTAGCAATAATTACGCAAATGAGTTAGTACTTAATGTAGTGAACATCATCTGAGTCTCCTGGTGGTTCAGTATGCACCTAATTCAGTGAGTATACATGGGACTAAGAGTTTAACATTTTCTAGTACAAATGTTATTGACAAGAAAGAAGATATCTTATACTTTCCAGAAGTTGGAAACATTTGAAATCTCTATTTTTCAAATAAAATGCCTGATAATCTGAGAAAAATATAGTACTTGAGGGGTTGAGGGACATGGTCCTTCCTCCTCCCATGACTAAGGGCTGGTCAGATAGTTCACTGGCCATAAGGAATGTGTATTGTTTTGAGAATGGACTGTAACTCCCTCCTTATCTCCTTTTGGGAGCAGCTTCTTGTCCTGTAACTGCTTCTTGACCTTTTACACACTGAGATAATGTAGTTTAGAGTCACACAGAAGACTAGTGCCTCCTTTGTCTGGGACCTCTTATAACAAGCCTGACCAGAGGGGGCGTGGTCTCGTTGGCCCCCACACACTGCTGTCAGTGCACTCCCCTGTGATGTGAGTAATAAGCAGCACGTCCATACCTGCTAGTCCTCTGAGTGGTTTTCCAGGAATATCATGAACACTTAAGCAGCTCCCAGTTTGAGTTTGGAGATCCTGTGCTACAGTATTAAAAACTGGTAACAGATATAATTGTTAATTATATTCCCACAATTAATAAAAGTGTGAGAATTAAAAGTATAGGTATCCATCCTCAGAAATAGAAGCTTTAAGAACATAGGCTTTCTCAGCTATTGCATAAAAGTTTAAATATCTGCATAAATTTTCTGAAGAACAGGAAGAGTATGGATTTTT